TAGTAGTAGTAGTAGTAAGTACGTAGTAACGTACGTAGTACGTACGTACGTAACGTAGTAACGTAGTAACGTAGTAGTAGTAGTAGAGAGAGAGAGAGAGAGAGAGAGAGAGAGAGAGAGAGAGAGGAAAGTCCTCTTACACAGAAGCCGGGCCTCCTACAAAGAAAGGTGGATCGCCTAGAGAGTTTTGATTTTTAGTGGGGATTTTGGGTGTTCCCCTTTACTAAAGTGAGACATTTGGTGCTCTTGCATCTCTTTCTATGAGCTCTAATGGCCGAAAAAAGAACAACGATTGATGGATGGTATTGGTTGGAAGAGTGGTTTAAATGGGAAGATTGGCTGGTATTGCTGCTGACTAGAAAGAGTAAATGTTGTAGCCAAAAGTATGTAATCTGTCAATGAAATAGTGAACCCTATTTGTCATACCCATGGACATAACCCCTGGGGGTTTGTGTCTTTGCTTTATTTTTTTCCTTTTGTTCTGATATGCATGCGTCTTTTTCACCTGTAGCCAATTACGTGCCTGATCTGTCTGTCAGACCCCATTATTTGGGTTCTTCATTCCTAGTTTATTACATCTGAATTTGTAATAAACTAGTTATAGGAACCTTGTAAGGAAATTCCTCATTATCATGATGGACTTCAGAGAGTTTGCCTGAACCCCCTGTTTATTTGGGAAAGTCCTATAGTGTTATGATTTGTTAGTTTCTAGATATGCCCCGCATGATCCTTGATGCAAGAAGTTATATTTAATTCTTCTTTTATTATCTATTCTTCTTTCATAATCTACTAAACAACAAAATGAATTATAGTGTGCATGCTTGTTTATATGTAGTGCACACTACAAGCAAAGGTAGGGTGCCAGTATTTATCTGCTCTTATATATGGTTTCCCCATGTGGATACTCATAACATATAGTTACACTTTGTACCATAAATACATATATGAGGATGTAATCTTGAATTCATGCATTGGATGTTAAGTTGTATGCTTCATAATTTATGTTTTCATAGTGCCAGGACTGTACCCATGAGTTAGCTGTATCTAGATATATTCATGCTTTTGCATATATATAAAATGTGTACATGTATCAGTGCGCGTGCAAATTTATCTAGATGATTGCACATGTAGTTAATGTACATGTCTATGAATGCTTTTATGTGTACTTATATACGGTAATCAGTAGGAGACATGCAAGAATATTGTTTTGGCTAGGCACATGGTAGGGAAAGTGGTGGACATTGGAAGAGCACACGGAAAATTTTCGCGATGGCCAATGAAATTGGAGGAAACTGTGAAAACTATTTACTATTTGGGGAAAACTATACATAATGAATAAAATCACGGGTCAAGAGGAATGTATCTCTGCCTCATGATACTCAAAAGTGTCTTTTTGTGTGCTCTGGGAGATTTCTGTGAGTCACACGCTTCAGCTTCCAAATTAATTTGGCAGATAGTTTATAGCAGTATTCTCATGCTTCTTGCTCCAATACCACTTGTAGCAATATGTTTAAACTCTGATGTTGGAAAGAGCATTCAATGGCCCATTTTCCGAGCCATTATTTCCCCAAGTTGGATAAGGCTTTCATGTTTATTGCTTGAATTTCCCTCAGCTTAATCCACAAACAATTGCTTCTTTTTCTTTTTTTAAATTAATGTTATAGTTGAAGCTTAGAACATGCTATGGTACAGATTATGGGTATAATTGATCAGCCTATTTTAAGAGAAAGATGGATCGGGATGAAAGGCCGGAAAACTACGTTGAATGGAGAAGAAGTTTCCACGCGCCTCTGTAGCAAACTCTCTGATGCGTACTTGTAAGTTATTTTACCATCCATAGTCCTAATATTTAAGGAGATCTAATACCCAAAATATGGTAGTGCAAGATATTTTTTTATGGTAGAGCATTTTCAATCTGCCCAGGATCAATATTTAGTTTGTATGCCTATTACTTAAAAACAGTTTTTATTACTTAATTTGAAAAAATATGTTAACAGTTCATCTATTGGGCTAGCTTTTGGTGCTATTCCAGGTTAAGGGTACTAATTACTTGATTAAGGTAGTATTGTTATAGAATAGGAATCAAAAGCAGGCCCAAGGACATGTATATCTTTAATTTGTGAAAGTTTATGATTAACAAGCACAGTAACTGCTGTAATTTCCTATCCTTCATAGTCCAGTCTGCAATGTTTATTGTTAAATGGATTGATAATCGCAAGAAAGAAATTGTTCATAATCTAAACAGCTGTATAAAGACAAGATGATTGAAGAAATTTTTAAATGACAATGTGGGCAAGATAAATTCCTTATTATAAAAAAAATTAGAAACACATGATGCCTTGATTCTGATCTGTCAATTTCAAATAAGAAACTTTTGAACAACTCAATAATTACTTGTCCATTCCATCTTGAAATTCGTAGAGGATGAGTTCTTATGTAAGAGATTCATCAGTTCTTGAGCATAGTCCTGGTAGATTTATGTGGTACATAACTTTCCATTTGAATGTTTTCTCTCTTGCTGTAGCCTCTCTTAGTCCTCAAAATGTAAATGAAAAGGCAGACTGAACCTTTTGACACACTTCAATCGCCTGAAATAGTTAAGCACCCACCAACCTAATAATTGGATCATTGACACTATGATTGTCATGATGCAGGCGTTGCTTCTGGGTATTAGGTTCTCTGAGCTATATTGTTGACAAGGTGATTTGTGTTATGTTTGCAATCGGAATAACATTTCTATTGTGGGTAGGGGTAAAGCAACTTCTTCTTACAATTTTAAGAGTCTAGTGGGGATTGTGTCAAGGTTGCGTGTTGTGGGGTTTTCCATTTAGTTTAAATGAATGGAGCTATGTCCCAGACTTGTTTGGCATGTCTTTGTAAGTAGTGAGGTGAATCTCTTGCTATTGCCCTCTAGATTTCTAATGGGAAATAGTATCAGAAAATGATGTCTATATTACAACACAAAGGCTTTGCATCATGTTATTCTGGCATACTATTGAAACTTATTGTTGATCCTTTGGGAGTCTTTGGCACAAATTTATTTACAAACTAAAAAATATAGAAGAGGAGAAAGTAGTAAGTACCTTAAGGATTGTATCTTTTTCCTCTTGGTAAAGTGGGTCCAACAAAAAGGCTTCTTAGAGTTTGATAGGTTTTAGTGCTTCTTTAACCACTTCACCTGATTGAAGTGTCCAATGTATATGCAGGCAATAAAATGGACTAAACCATCATTTACTAGAAGTTAACTGAAAGTTTCTTTGTTTAGCACTCCTCTTCATTACAAAGTTATTAAAATTGGACCAGACTAGCGGTCCAACCGGTAGAATCGGTGCTTGGAACATTGTCCGTTGCGATGCAAGTACTAAACCGGGATTTACATGGAACCGGTATTTGACCGGTTAAACTGTTTCGATCGCCAGTTTTGGCAGTTTTATTGGTCCATCCGGTTTGGAAAAGTTGAGCATAAATTCTATAGTTGAGCTTAAATTCTATTTTTTCAAATTTATTGCCAATTTTTTTCATGATCTTATTCTTTCTTTCCATTTCTCACATGTTGATTGGAAGGAAATTTTTCTTGCCAATATAAAAAAGAAACTATATCTTTCTTTCCTTTTTTTGAAAAAATAAAAGGTAAAATTTGTCAAAATCTTGCTTTTTATTTTACACACACATACTCTCTCTCTCTCCCTCCCCCCCCCCCCCCCCGCCCCCCTTGCATTTTTGTGCCTTGTCCATGTAAAATGGAAAGAGAAAAAGTTTTACATATGCACCTTGCTATTAATTAAACAAAATGCAATGGTTAATTTAATGAAATGCAATGCTTAAGTATTTACTAATGTTTAATTTAAACTTTAGTTAAATAAAATGCAATGTTTAATTAAAGGGTGTGGTTTGTATAAGGTTGCAACCTTAAACAATCCACCTAAGGCGCACCTCTAAAGTTTATCATAAATGTACTTTTGATAAAAAAAATTCTTAGGATAGCTTGAGAATCTATTTTCATATGTAATTATAAAATTTTAAACTCTAAGAGTGGTTCAAATCAAGTAGATCTATAAAAACATGAAAATCTTGAAAATGGATGGTCCAGATAATGTGCTGCAAGATACACTATTTCGCAGACTCGAAATCTATTTTTTGTTTTCATATTAATGTCGAGATGATCAATTAGAGGGTTTTCCAACATCCAAATAGCATTTTATGATGGATTTTTGAGGTGCATCTTTAATTCTACATTTTAAGGTTGCAACCTTATATAAACTTTTTCCTTAATTAAATAAAATGTAATGCCTAATTATTTACTAATGTTTAATCACAATAATTTTTAAAATGCAATGTTTTATTATTAAAGTGAGTTAATTTTTTACAATAAGTTTTAAAAATAATTTCTTATTTTTACAAATTTCAGGTAAGTTAACTTGTGTTTTTCTAATTCGAAATGAATATTTAAGATGTTAATAAATTTCTTGATTCTTTTGTGTTGAAAAAAGGGTTTGCCCAGTCTGATTGCTGGTTGAACTGGTTTTGATTGGACCATCCCCTTCACTGGTTCAAGCACCTGTCCGATCCTAATAACACTGCTTCATTAAGTTTGTCTCATTGTCTTAAGGGGATGCTGTTATCTCTTGCTACGATGTTAAAGATTTTGTGCATCTGCTTAAACATTACCATTGTAATTTTTGCAGGTATACTACTAGCCCCCATCTGTTCAGTGGAGATTCAGAAGAAGCTTTTGTCCGTGTTAGGAACAAGGTAAGTGCAAGTTATCTTAATATTTGATTTCGGATTATATAGGTTATTTTTTCACATGATGTCTTGTGCCACCTGCATTTTTTAGGAAATTTTTTGCAGTGCTCGTCTATTTTTTTTTTTAGTTTTAGTTTTAGTCTTATATAACAACAACAACAACACACATTGCATGCTTTTAGGAGAATCTGAGGTGCCGCACTAGAATTGCTTGTCGACATGGTACAGACACGGCACATTGTGTCAACATGTGTGTCTAGAAATTTTCTTTTTTTGGATTCTTAGTCACAGCATGTTTGCCATGTGGATGGAATGGAAGTCCATATATTTGACAAACAAGGCACGTCTTCCATTTCTAATACATGCGTCGCTGCACTTGTCTATGATTTGGACACACATCTTCAATTTGGATCCACATGTTTTACTTTTTAAAGTTAATTTATAATAGTCATGAATTAATTGTGTATGTGTGTACGCATGTGTGCGCATTGACGTGTGTATCTGCATGCATGTCCATGTGTGTGTGTGTGGACACATATGTATACTATGGATGTTGAGATGCATTCACATATCTGTCCTTTTAAAATAGGTTTTAGTTCATGATTTCATACGTTTTGCATTTTCTAGAGCATTAACAATCGAATATAGGATAGTTAAACTAGAAATTATGCCATGCTTACTTTGTATGTGCCGTAGAATCATTTGTAGAAATTGAAGTTGAGACTAACTTATGGGCATAGAGACCAAAGAAATTATTTAAAATATAGATCAATGTCACTAATTCCTATGTACTGGAATGCCAGGTAAAGGTAGCGCTATATGGTTGTGACTGCTATGCTTATGCCCTTTTAGCGTCTGGGCATGTTGATCTTGTTATTGAATCTGGCCTCAAGGTAAGTCTTTGGAACCTCTTAGAGTTGTCCTTGTTGAACGAGATAAAATTTGATGATTGTTTTGCATTAGTTGTAATTTCATGTTCATAAATATTCATGTGCTACGAGCCCTATAACCATGTGAAACTTGCCAAGACTAAATCCTGATGATGGCAAAGCCTTTTATGATGACGAAGCCTCAGATCTTTCATTAAATATAACCATGTCATTCGAGAATAATTCTCCATAAAAATAAAAGAGTTTATGTGACTAGATAGGCTATGAACTCTAGAAGGACCCCCAAATCTTTGAATGAACAACTGCAAAAGGAACAAATTTTCGTTTATTGACTCTAGGATGAAACGACACCTTATGATGCTTGCCTAGCGCACAAGCCTCACTCTCTAATGTCGACATAGATTCCATGGAACTGAGAACTTCAAATTATTAACGGATATATGACCAAATTGATTGTAGAGGGGAAACAATAAAATGAAGAGCAACACATAGTAATAGTAAAGTCAACCAGACTCACAATCACCACCAATCGTCCTCTTCATCTTTATATCCTGAAAAACGCAATACGAAACTATAGAATGCTACTAAACATCAAAGTAATTTGGTTAATTTACTAACTGACAATGTTCAAGAAGGCCAAGGCAGGTGCCCAAATACTTGGGCAGCTTGCATAATGGGGGGACCCCAGACCCTTCTAGATTGTTGAAGCCGCCCTATTTTTGAGTATAGAATATCATTTGTTTTTTGTTTGATAAACATGATCCAATAATTTTTATATGTAATTTATTGTAAAACTATAGATCAAACTTAAACATACATGACTTTAAATTGTGAATAAAATAGTTAGAAGTAATATTAAAAGAATGAAAATTACTAGCCATAACTAGCAAATGTTAATTTCTGTTATACTTATCCCAAAATTTGAGATATCCATTACATCTTGCATGTTGCAAAAGATAACTGATAAGAAAAAGGCACAACTCACAATTCAAAGGCCATGAACTAGAAAAAGTAGCATTCTTCATCCCACAAATATGATGAACTCAAATATGATAGTAAGTTTCATCATCACTGAGAGCGGCTTAAAGCCCAGTTTCCAGAGGAAGCGATCTTGATCACATGGGAATGGGAGTTACCTGGGGTCCCTCAAGGATGCGGTAGGGCGGTTGATTGTTGCTCCTCACTTCTACAGGAGGATGACCTGCTATGCCTTCTACCTCGTCCCCGATGTCAAGTAGTCCGGTCGGCTAGGGTAATATGACATCCACATCCAAGGCCAGCATGAAATGCACCTAAACTTGATGATGCTGCCAAACCATCATCATTAAAGACATCCTCCTCCTCCTCATAATGAGCATCTTCCCTTGTCTCCTCTTTTGAGTCTGCATCCTCTCCTCCTCCACTATCGTCTTTTTCCTCTTCGTCCTCACCTTCTCCTTTCCCGTTTCCCTTCTCCTTTATCATTGTGTTCCCTTTAATCTGAGTTTGAGATCTAGTAGTTCTCATGGGGCTCGATGCCATATCAGCGGGCTCTTGTACTTAGGTCCATGTCAAATTGTCTCCCTCGAATACAGGCTAATCCCAGCATCCTCCTCGACCAACCATTTTCTTGATTCATTCAAATCTTTCACAACTATGGGGTCGGATATTTGATATCACTCTATATGACATGCCCTCGGCTTCTGAATATACTGAACAGAAGCAACGCTCTTCAGTCTCTTCTGTTGAAGTCTGTTTCTCTTCTTTGTATGGACCTGTTTTATAGTGCATCATTGCACTATTAGAATTTGTTACTTAAAATATTATCGAGAAGTTAGTGCAGTAGCCTGATAGGAGATGAGGATAAATAGTAAATTTACCATCTCAAATGTACTGAAATTGCACTCGCATCCAGATAATGTGCAAGTCAATCTCAAAATCCATTGCGCCATCCTTTGCAAGTTGGGAGCACTTTGCCCATGGTTGGCCCACTATGAAGCTACAATACATTAAAAATGAATAGAGTACATGTATGAGTGAACTTAGAAAATTAAAGTTAAATATGAACAAAAGGGTAAGATTTTAAATGACAAATACCGCTTCAACTTACATGGATATATTTTTCTTCTTTGCCTTATTGCGAAGACCATCCCAAGTGTCTCTGTACAGTACTGATACAAGTCAAGTTACATAGACACTTTGTCTTGGATATCTGAGTCAGGGTTGAGCTTCATATTACACTTGTTAATTGCTTCTATGAAACAATCCCTACTCTCTCTCTCACAATCAATGTAGGTGTAGGGGTCTCTCCAACTGTAAATCCCCCCATTTGTTATCTATAATTTTCAAAATGGAGCCATATTTACTTTCATCTTTTTTCAAGTTCATCTTGATTTCTTCTCTTACAACCTCCATTGACTTGTAAATGTGCCCCATTGCCGGTTCCTTTTCACTATACACAAGGCGTAGTATTTTACAAGTGGCTCAAAAAGATAGATGCATTACTGAACCCCACTCCAAAACTTGGGTGTCTTAACAATGTCATACACCATTTTCCCTTTGTCTCCTTAGACCACTTGCTTTCCTTCCAATCTAAGGAAACAAACATGGTTTGATTCTTTCTTTTTTATTTTTAAGAGAATCCAAAGACAACTTTGAAGTTGCAAACCATGTGATCCTCGGCCTCACCAAGTCAGCCCTTTTGTATACTTCCTCATTTTAATTGGTGTGGTTGTAAATGATTACTGTCAAAACTTTTGCTTTATCGATTATCCCCTTTACCGCTTCCAACAATCTAGCAGCCGTCATATTGGCCTTAGCCATATCAGTGACAATCTTGCACAACATTTGCCTCTTCCACCTCCTCAATACACTTATCTACCACTCCAAATATGAAACTCGCATCATGAATCTTATCAGGTGCGTCATTGGACCTCCCAAAAATTGTCCCCATGGGACAATTAACCAGTAAATTCATAATACTCATTGACCTTTTATTGCTCCAAGTATCTGTTATAGTGATCACCCCACACTTGCCCCATGCATCCTTGTGGGTCTTCAGATAGTCATTTGTGAGCTCCACTTCTTTATTCAACAAAGGAACCTTGAACTCATAAGGTGTAAGTGCCCTATAGTCGAGGCCAAACTGCCTGTTGCCCCCAACATAGCTTGGAAGCTCTTTAAGCTAGCTGTATTAAATAGTAGATCTGCTTGATAATATCATGATGCTACTAATTAATATGATCCCTATCCTGCTTCTTTACTTGACTGTCTAGACTAGTTTGTGCCTGTACCCATTCTCAAACTACCACCTCGGGATCAGGAGGGGGGAAGAATGTATCAATAGGCCCCTTTCTTCGAGGTCTCTTATGCCCAAAAGTGGTTGGTCTAGATATGAAGGTCCTTTCCTCTTCTTTGTCTTCTATTCCATAGATATTTTACAGATCTCCTAATATCTTCATATTGTTTCCTTGTCTCTTCTCTCTTCTTTTGGACCTTTTCCAACATCTCTTTTTCAACATCTCCAGGGACTTGAGTGCATGACGCTATGTCAAATTAATGCCGGCCAAACATTTCCTTAATCGATTAATGCCAACATTGTAGTCCTTTTTACATAATTTGCAAGCTACATTGTTCTTTTCATTAGGATTGGGACAACCATATTTCCAAGCTGGATCAACTTTCTTATTTGAACTAGAGGAAGACATTGTTGCTTACAACCCTTAGTTATCAACTTATCATGTAATCCTGAAAATTAGACAAAACCACTTAAGTCAAACTTGAATGCATTTAAAAGAAGTCCACTTTGTAAATAAATTCACAAAAGCAAGATTAATTTAGAACTATGCAGTCTAAATATTTAAAATTGATCAACCAAATAATATTAAAAATTGATCTAGAAAACTACAAATAGTCAATGAAGTAGAAAGAATAATCTCTATATTTTGACAATCCAAGGAAGAAGTAAAACTAGCATGCTCTAGAAGAAAAAAAAAAAAAAAAAATGTCAAAAAACTCAAGGTAAAACTTACACATTTAAATTGCAATGATTTAAAGCATAAAATTGGAAAAACAAATTACGAATCATGCAAGTAAACTATTTCATGCAACAACATTTGGGAGCAATGGACTTTTTGCATTGATTTGGTTTCTTGATCTAAAAATCACAAATCCAAGTAAAACCTACTCATCATTATGGCAATGATTTAAAGCTCGAAATGGGAAAAAAAAATATGATCATGCAAGTAAACTAATTCAGGCAAAAAAAAAAAAAAAGTGTCATTTTGTTTAGGGTCAATAGACTTTTTCCATTGATTTGCTTTCCTTAACTAAAAATCAAAATAGGAAAATAATCTAAATACAAACTATTAAAAATATAAAATGGAAAAACAAAAGGGAAGGAATAACATATCTTTTTTTTTTTTTTTGATAAAGTTAACCTCCATGGGGGAAGGAATAACATATCATTATACATTTTACACAAAAAATATATAACCCTAATTAAAAATATTGTAATACAAACCTTATCGGTAACTTTTGATTGCCAAAACCCAACCACTCCACGCTCCAAAAAGATTTGGGATGAATGCCTTTCAACTTTGCAAGGATTCGAGGAGGTTGAAATTTTTTTCGATCTTCTGAAAAATCTACAAATTTATGTTTTTAGAGAGTTTTCTCTCTCTAAAACTCACCACAAGGGTTTTGTACGCATGAATGCCCCCAAAAACCCTTTTCCCCCTTTTTAGGGGGAATATTATGAAAATGCCCTTAACTAAGGGCCATTTTCCACCCTCGGCCAAGGGCATGCAAGGCACAGCTTCGGCACCTGCCTTGAACATACCCGCCTAGGGCCCAGTGCCTAGGCATTCGATCAGGCCTCTTAGGCGGGTGGCCTAGGCATCCAGGCGGCCGGAATTTTCAACCTTGCTAACTGAGAACAAGTTAAATGGAAACTTTGATACATAGAGCACAAATGATAATGAAAGAGAAGTAGGATGACTGACGCCTTTTCGAGACACACTTGATAGAGAACTATCAATTAATGTAACAGATGTATTGGACACTGGTAGATCAGGAGAAGAACATGTAAGTGAGAGGTTCCTAAGTGAACGACCTTAGAAGATGGCTTATCAGACACAAGGAATGTAGTACCTGTATTTGCAAGGGTAGCCGTTGGTGTAGAGGGACGAGTGGTTGGCTGTTGGCTATTTTTCATAAGTTTATTGTATTCCTCATGCAGAGCGAAGTTGAGAGAGCTTGGTGATGATCATTGGAGCCAATTAGATGGATATCATCACCGTTAGAAAAAAAAAAAGTTTACCACCACCACGACATCTACCATTGCCTCTACCTATGGAGGAGGTTAAATTAGACCTGTCACTAGCACTAGGGGCAGATGAAGGTGTGGATATGGCAGCCCTCTTGAAGATGAGACTATACATGATAGAGAGAAGGGAGTTTGGACTGGTACTTGGAATTAAGGCCAAACAATAATTTTGCCACTTTAAATTCTTCTCTTTGCTTCTTCAGTAGCTCCATATTATTTAATAGGGGCTGATACATGTTCAACTCTTTCCACATACCTCAAAGTGTATTGTAATACTCACTAATACTCTTATTACCTTGCTGTAAAAAAAATTCTCTTACAGTTGATAGACTCGGGAGATATTCTTTTCAGAAGAGTACATCTCATGCACAACTTCGAAACGCATCAAGAAACATCACATTCACACTCACATGCGGTTTCATACTATTTCACAACTGTGTCATGATTTGATAATTTTCCTTAAGTCATTCTTCGTACCCACTATCTGACTCTTTTGGCCCATCTTCAGTCAAGAACTTCATCTTACTGTAGGCACTGAGAAACACCTTTGTAGACTGAGCCCATAGGAAGTAATGGACCCATTTAATTTTACAGTAGTAGTTGGAATTCCAATCATATTATTGATGCTAGAAATTCTAGGCTTACTCTCTCTAGCTTGAGGGTAAGATCCAATAAAAATGAGAATATGGAAATAATATAACAGGCCGAATATTATTAGAAGCCCTAAATCACTCGATTGAGTCTTATAAACCAGAGAGAAAAAACAAATTGCAGATTACAGGGCAAAAGCCAACACAAACAGTGGGTCACATGGAGAAATACTTATCATTCAGATGTAGACGGAATCGATCTCGCCACTAGAACTCTTGCATGAACCTCCACATGCCTTCTACAACATCAGTCACACACTTTGACATATGTCAACCACTATTCCTCTTGATTTTTTGTATCCAAGGACTGAAACGCCAACAACACAAGTATTTACAACAAACACTGATAACCATGTTGGTTATGCGCACAAAAGAGAGAAAGGCTTAAGTGCGACTTGTTGAGATCAGCATAGGCAGAATAGGGTTTCCTCCTTTGAAAATAAAGAAGAAAGAGAGGAGAATAGTGAGATATAAGGATATGATTGCTCTGATACCTTGTCAAAAGTGTAGTTCCATAGGGAAAGAAGGGAGAGATGAGAGGAAGTCGAGAGAGAGAGATAGAGAGAGAGCTGGAAGGAAGGTGCAAGAGAGAGGTGGCTGGAGGGAGTCTCACAAAGGGTTGGATTACCCTCCACACACCTCTCGAATTTTATTTATAATAGAAGCATATACAATTTACTGTTGGGAAAACTTTGCATGTGAACCAACCCACATATAAATTATGTGTGACCCTTGCTCTTTGTTGTTGGATTTGAGTAGATGGCTGGGATGGCTTGAGTCACAATGTCACAGTTTGGCTCTCGAACATCGTATCCTAATCTGACGGCTCAGAGTAGTTTATTTTTAATCTTTATTTTGGAAATCACTATTTAGCGAAATTTGGGGCATGCATTCATCTCATAGGGGCACGCATGGTAAAAATAATAAAAAATATTTCCTTTGATGAAAACTTACCAAAATACACATGAAACTTTTGTAGGCTACTTTTTGTAGGTATTTTGGCCATTTATTTACATGAGAAATATTTTTATTTTTTATTTTATTTTATTTTTTTGCTAGGTGTGCCCCAATAAGAAGATGGAACACCACAAGTTTCACTCAAAAAGGTTTTGAAGAAAAACAATTAAAAATCAAACAATTTTTTGGCATGACATTGTGATGAGCAATTCTAAGCGTTTATTCAGATCGAACAACTGAGAAGTGGGGTCACATATGATTCATATGTGGTTGGGTCACATAGAAAGTTTTCCCTTGTAATAATGCTCTTATGAATAACACGAATGTCATTTAGTATATAAAAAGGTCAATAATGCACCACAATCCATAATAACACGTTAACCAAAATAATTGTCTTGAGCAAAGACAAAATAAAACAAGTAAATAAAGAACCAAGAGGAAGAGAACCAGAAGGGTTTGCAAAGTGCTTGGGTAACAAACAAGGGTTGGTGAAGTTGGCTGCAAGAGAGAGCCAAGCACTATCAAAACCAGGCTAAATCTGGACCCTTCATTGAAAGCAACAAAATGGTTGGGTCATGTTTGCCGTAGCCTCAATAGTATGACCTTTCTCTTAAAATCCCTCCCCCGCATTCTGCCCCCTCTCCTATCGCTTTCTTTCTCTTTATAGCTGTGATTTTTTACTCTTTTCTTATGCCTTTTTTTACAAGATTTTGAGAGAAATTTTGAGAGAGAGAATTTTTGAGAGAAACTTTTGAGAGAAATTTTTGAGAGAATTTTTGAGAGAAATTTTGAGAGAATTTTTTGTTATTTTGATGGAGATTTTTCATGATATTTTTTTTACAAATTATGGGAGAGATTTTTTCGTATGAGGGTTAGGATTTCATTATTTTGAGAGAGAATTTTCACAAGATTCTTCAAGATTTTGGGGGAGATGTTTTTCACTAGTAAAGCCAGAGATTATCGTTTTCTTGTCTTTCCTATTTTCACCTTTTTTTTTTTCCTTCTGATTTTTAAGGACTTCCCCCTTTTTCCCTTCTCTTAAGGCATTTTCAAACTCGGTGTGGACTTGGGCAAGTCGACATGGACTCATCCTAGTAAATTGATCCAACCAGGGGCCGAGGTCTGCGCACAAGTTTAATTTTCTAACATTGTTATATTCTGTTAGCTGGTGCATGTTTTACCCCTCTTTGTATTTCTGTATCTTGCCCATGTCTAATGTGGGCCTTTTTATGAATTTATCCTTTGCTCATGGAGTCATGTCTATTGGCATATCCATGTGTTTGTACGTGTGTGCAAGTACCCAATTCTTATTTTTACTTTATTACAGAGGATATTACAATTCTACCACCAGTTAAAAAATATTGCCAAGAATCACATGCTCTTATTTTAAAAATATTGCCAAAAGGATTTTGGTTTCTTATACCACGAAATAAGAACAAGAGCTGCCATAGTTCTTTATAAATGTGTGAGAGAGAGAGAGAGAGAGAGAGAGAGAGAGAGAGATGTCATGTGCAGCGAGAGAGAGAGGGAGAGATGTCACGTACAGCCCTGAATTCGTGGACCTTACGCATACGTTTAGACAGATTAGTTTTCTTTTTCTCATTAGTTTTCAAATGTGCGGCATCTTTCAAAGTTTAAAAGTCAGTCTCTATTTAAATTGCCTATATTGCGGTTCCTCTCTCTCTCTCTCTCTCTCTCATACACACACATTAGTTGTTTCTCTTTACTGGTCTGCATAACACTTAGTTGGGCTTATTGTGATAATATATTATTGCAGCCCTATGATTTCCTTTCGCTTATACCAGTAATAGAAGGTGCTGGAGGATTGATAACTGATTGGAAGGGACACGACCTCTATTGGGAGGCCTCTCCAGACATGCGTGTGACAGGTACTTTAACTTTCTGTTTGATTGGGGCTCCACACTGGATTTTAGGCTGTTTGATGTCACTTTTATTTACGGGATTGTATACTATGAGACCATTTATCTTTGTTACAAGGAGGTCAAAATTACTTCTAGCCATTAGATGACAAATTGGATGGCTTGGGGTGTCATGAAGTTCGAGAATTATTCTTTGAACTTTTGAGTCTTACAACCACCTATTTTGAAATCAGACGGATAAGAGTCATTGTGACCTTCTTGTACCCAAAGTAAATAATCTCTTTGTATACTTCTCTGATATTTATATTAGAAAAACATTGAGCATACTATGCCTACGAATATTGTCAATCATAGAATATAATTAAAGATATAAGGATTCTGTTGAACGCTTTTTCCTAATTCCGAAGAGTTTTCACAATCTTCTTATTGGCAAAGTTGCTTCATACTAGCAAAATTTCAAGTTTATGATTTTCTTGATAGGTTTCTTTGCAGACTTATGTTGCATTTTTTTGCTTTATTTATTTTTAAATAAACTTGGTCTACAAAAATCCTTTGGATCCCCTCAAGTTTAAAGCTTTAGAACGAGTAGTCCCCCAACTATGATTTTCTTTGTTTTTTTTACGAATTTCATTATTTTGTTTTACAAAATGTCGAACACTTCCATTAATTAAAATAATTTCCGTTGCCCAAAACCAAAACAAGGTGTTAAGCTCCATGTACCCCATACTCTCTTCCTTCGCCGGCACAAGCTTTCTCTTCCCTCCCTCACTCTCTCTTTACATCAGGTATGGCCTTTTTGATATTGAATACACCTCCAGAAAACCTAATTTATGGAGAGCTTTAAGAGATGAGAGAGCCATAATTTTGTTTTCTGCAGAACCCCAACTTTTGAGGATACTTTAGAGAGAGAAGGCCATGATTTGGTTGTTCACATGGAGAGAGGGCGCGCGTGGAGGGAGTAGAGAGCTTGGGGAGGGAGTAGAGAGAGAAAAAAACTTGGGAAGGGTGGAGAGGAGAGCTGTGGGAAGGGTGGTGCGAGAGAGCCGTGGGCTGCGACGGGGAGAGATACAAGATAGGGACGCTTTTGGTTTTCTCTCATTTTGTTTTGAATTTTGGATTACTGTGTTATTTCTTTTGAGAAATGGTTGTTTTGATAAATAATGTGTAGTAAAAAGGTGGAAAGGGGAGTGCCCTTTTATAAACTTTGGGGGGGCCAAGGGTTTTACATGAACCCAAGGTTTATGAGGCTCGTAATTGTGGGAGAGGGGGTAGTTGGTCATTTTTCCCTTTTTTTTTTTTTTTGTTCCCTTCTATTTAAAGTTTAAGATCCAAAATTCTTCTCTATATATGGGATCCCTTTATACATATGGTATGCTTTAACGGTGCCGTTGCTTTGCTTGCATTTAGGCTACAATGTTGTCGCAGCAGGTGATCCACAACTTCATCAGCAAACTCTGAATGCCCTCCGATGGAACTAATATCCTCAATACTTTTACATATTTTCATTTATTTGGAGTAAAGGTGTAAGAGGAAAAATAAATAATAAGAAAGACCACTCTTTTCACTCTTATTCCCTTTCTTTGGTTTTGGTGTTGTAATTTAGAGGTTGACATAGGAAGTGTTGGGGTTGAAACAAAGAGCTCTGTGACTAATCCAGATGACCATCCATTTTCAGTTAGACTTTGTATTTTGGGTAATTTTACTCAGGTGTCTCGAGTGTACTGTAAAAACACTGGGCCAGAGAAATTTACATTTTAGGTTGACTTTTAGTTCAGTATGTTGTCTAGGTTGACTTTTAGTTCTACTATGTTATTTCTCTCTCTCTTCGCTTTAAGTTTAAGACTGATCCTTGTAGTTAACAAGCGCCAGTGCAATTTTCTCCATAAGATCACCGGAGAGGCAGCATTAGATTTGACCAGTGTTTGAGAACCCGATTGGATTTACCTGATTCAAATGCCCTTAATATATTAGGGAACTAGATGGTTCCCAAAAGAATCCTCTAGTTCCAATGAGGAACCAGATGATTCAGCATAGTGAATCGTTGATAACCCTGAATTATCGATCTAAAATGGCTTCTTCTTTTTTCCTTTCACATGAATCTGCAGCGTTTGGATTGGAACTTTTGGCATATTTGATCAGTTATAATCCAATTTCGCTTGTAAAATGCAATTTGGAATTGCGTTTAAGAATTACGAAACTAACTTTTGAGAATTTTGGTAAAAATCTGAACCCCAAATATTTTTTTGTTAGGAATTGTGAAATCAGTTGATTTTAAATCGTTTTTCCCATTGGGACATCAGAGCGTGGAGGAGTATCCTATCACTTATAGGAGGTAATTTTATTTTTTGATTGTTACAATTTTTTTATTATTATTATTTTTATAATTGTCTTGGGCTTGGTTTTATTTCTTGTGCTTTGTTGTTTTGTCCGCCCTCCAATCGTCAAACTTATTCCTCTATTTTGAACCATTTTCATTCAAATTCGGTTAAAAAAATGTTTTTTTGGTCTTCAATCTACTACGTAATTGAATCAATTTTATTTAAGGGTGTGGTTTGTATAGAGCCGAGGCTTTAAACAATCAAAGTAGAGCGCACCTTCAAATAGTATTGAGAAATATAGTTTCAATATTGGAAATCTTTGTGATAGCCTTAAAATATATTTTTATATTTAATTATAAAATTTAAAGCTTCAAAAGTAGTGTAGATTTATGAAAACTTGAAAATTGTCGGTTCAAAAATGCATTACAAGATGCATTATTTTCAAAACTTGAAATTCATTTTTTCTCATGTCCATGCATCTTGATGTTGAGATGATATTTGAAAATATTTGGGCATCAAAATAACCTCTTCTAATGAAATTTGTGAAGTTGGTTCTAATTTGATCGTTTAGAGCCTCCGCTCTATGTAAACTTTTTCCTTTATTAAAAGGAGTTGGGGTAGATTTGGACCAAAAAATATCTGATTTTGAGTTCTTGCAATTTTTTTAAAAGAAGTTTATAGCCGAGCTGTGGACAGTGAAGGAAGAGATCTACTGCTGTGCACGAAAGTAATTCTTAATCAATCAAAGAGGAATTTGAAGAAGAAGATGCCAAGGAGCGGGGAGGAGGTGACCCGTCGGCATATCTACAGTTTGTTTAAGATGTAGGTAGCATTACAATGATGCCGTCTTTCATTTTGATACTAGGTTGGATTTTAATAGTTGTATACTTTATTTTAGAACATACATTCATATCCATTATAATTGTTTGCTTTTTTTTCTGTAATGTAAATATAATGGTCAATAGATATTCAGACAAAAAGAGTATTTTAATATTCACGTATTTTAACAAATTAATGAAAATACATAATGTGCTACCTTTAGTTTTTTCAAAACTCAAAATAACAATATTTAGAAGCATTTTCAGACATGTTTTGAATTTTTAAGCATGGATCAGACCGATTCAGACCATTTTTCTGGATGAGAGATCCCGGTCAATGATCATTTTTTCAAAAATTGGATATGACTAACCTCTGGCGAAGCTTTATTTATTGTGATCTCATATATGTAGCTCATCTTTTTTGCACATAATCGCACATTCTTCCAACAAGCCCTTTGAGAGAAATTCAATGTTATTGAGTTGAATGCTGGCAGAGGGAGAAGGGTTTTTCAAACCTGAATAAATTTTTATCTTTTTTAAGTGTAAGTGCTTTCAATTCTCAATCTTTCTGATTCTATTTGCAACATTATATTCCTAATCTCGGTATACAGCCTTATTGTTATACCATTTTTCTTTGAGGTTGAAGTGATCATTTGTTTTTTCTTTTCCATTCACTCTTTTTGGATCTACTTGGTTCGGATCCCCCTTTCTTCCAAACAAAAAAAAACAAGGATCTTCTTCACTTGATTCGTCTTTTTCCTATTCAATCCCTTTTGGATATATTTTGTTCGGATCCCCTTTGTCTTCCGAACAAAAAAAGAAAGGATATTCTTCAATTGATCCGTCTTTTTCCTGTTCAATCCCTTTTGCTTCGAAAGCTCTTTCTATTTCTGCATATTTTGCTTCTTCAGTTTATAGGTTTCTTTCAATTTCTTAGTTTTGAATTTAAGTAGTGCCTTTTGGATATAAGTAGGTGTTCGCTGACATAGTTCAATTTTCCCAAATGCAATTTTTCCTCTCAGTTCTCTTACGCTCGTATAGTTCCGGTAATCATTCAAAAAGCCCAATGTACGTTGAATCGATTTCTTTCTGATTTCCACGTTCGTTCCACCTACGTCACCCTTGCCCCATAGAGAGAGTGAGAGAGAGAGAGAGCGAGAGAGAGACCCAACACCCAATTTCCACGTAACTGCAAATTGCCAGACACATCGTTTCCGGCAAAATGGGCCAAACAATGTTTTACCAAAATCCATGACTAATAAGGCGAGTTTTTATAGTCTCCACAATACTCTGCAAGCCCAACTTATAACTTGGATAAATTAGATTTACACCCAATTCCTCTTTCAAACGATTATTTGATACTCGTTTTTCTCCAACCAAATGCTTGAAGGGAGCTGAGCCCATAGGAGCTTGGGTGAACTTCCCGGGCCATTTCTGCTCAATCAAGTTGTATGCAAAGGAGAAGACTTCCTCACGTGGTGCTGGATCATCATCCACAACATTGTATATTTTTCTGAAACAGGTTCATAATATGGTGAGTGATACAAATGAGAAATTAAATTAATTAGGCTCTCTCTCTACTCTCTCTCAACCAGATTTTGTATCTATTCCTTGTGGTTATGCAATGAGAAAATAAAACATACTACGAATATAAATTTTAAATAAAAAAGGTATGGGAAAACTTGCCGAAGTTTGCACAAACTGATAAGAACTTGTTAACCATGGGAACCACATGGAGTACAAAGCAACCGTGTTTAAGGAAATTGAAGCATTAAACTTGTGCAGTATTTTCCTGATAAGAACAAAGGAGAAGACAATGACAGATTAACGGTTTCGATGGTATCCACATGATTTGGTTAATAAATTTGTCTGAGGGCATGTCCAAAATATTCAAAGGCACCGAAGTTGGACATTTGAGTTTGAAAATCTTGTTCTGTTGGTTGACAATGTGGTTGTTGAGCATTATTCGTGACTTGAGCAACACTCGGGTTGAGTCCAACTTATAAACAGGACAATTGACTGGGTATTTCTAAGACTTGAAAAAAAATATATAGAATGCCATGACACATAAATCTCATGATACATAAGTCACCATAAGAGTAAAACAGAATGTACAAGAGAAAAACATATAAGAGAGTGAACATAGTGTAGCGTACCCAGAAGAAGATAAGTCCATGCTGGCCTTGATTGCCTGAGAGATATCTGCAACGTGAACTCTCGCTGTGTACCTCTTTGATTCCCTTGTCCTGTGATCATTTGATAGGCTTTTGCGTTTGATTATAGTATCCACAGCACTGCAAGAAAATGAAGGCATTCAGAGCAGAAACCAATTTGTTTGTGGTGCGTGCGTGTGTCTGTATGTGTGTGTAAGAGAGAGGGAGAGGGAGAGGGAGAGGGAGAGGTAGAGGGAGCTACCTTCTTCCGGGTCCATATATTCCTCCAAGGCGAAGTATATTGACACAGACACAAAGATCGCGTCCAAGATCCAGCCAGTCTTTCTCAGCAGCCAACCTGGCTAAAGCTGAACTTTTTGATGGCTTTGTTGGAGATCTGGGATAAAAGTCAAAAATAGATGAAGTTTCTCTCTCATACGAATTACATTATGAAGCATTTGTGTAAAATTGAAGCATCTTACTCCTCATCAACCCATGCGCCACCACAATCTCCATAAACACCTGCAATCCCAAATTAAAAATTCAGTATGGAAATCAAGCAAGACATTTTCTCTAGGTATGTCAGAAACAACATTTCTTTTTTCTTTTGATAAGTTATGTGATACAAAATGGTGGTTTTAAATCTTTATTAATATAGATGTTTGCATCATTGGCAAGATGTGTATGCACATACCTATGCCTGTCTCGGTCTTTGCATGCAAGTATAGACATGGACATGGAAAGGTTCATAAACTGGATGGAAATTTGATGTCAACCAAGCCATTGGCTTAATAGGGAGACACCTAGTTTGCAAATGAGAGAGGTCTTGGGTTCGATTATCTCTCTTTGACCTACCCAGAAATAGACATGCAGATAGGGAACAATTCGATGAAAATCCGGTCTCATTGGCAATGTAATGGAAAAATTATGTGGCTTAATCTGGGAATGCATCCATATCCAATGCATGACCCAACAAATCCCAAATTCTTACTTCTAGTAGCCTTTCTCCTCCCAAGTCCAAACAGACCACTGAATCTACTGGCAGTCTTTAAAACACTACAGATAGGAATATTCTTTCCATTCCTCTTTCTGGTCATGATAAGGTTCTTCAGTTAGGTTCTCTTTATTCTAATTAAGGCACTATTGCTTAATTAAGCCACAATTGCCCAATTAATTATTTCATCACATTAGTCACACAAGATCATCTAGCATGTAGATTGAGATGTTAGGAAGAATAGTGACTGATACCACCATATTTCCCGAAATCTTGTGAAAAGAATTTTGTTTTAAAAGAATGTTTTTGTCAATATTGTTTCATTCTCTTTTTCTAAATTTCTTGCAATTCGTTTGAAAGTTAAATATTTGGTTAAATGCAAATACAAGTTTACAACAAAAAGATACATGAACAATAAGAGAACAAGTATATGCTGAGATTCTAGTAATTGAAACTTAAATTCAAGAAAGACTTTTTAAAGACATTATAAAAGATAATTTTTTCTAATCATTTAATAATTTTTCAATTTTCTCCAAAAGATTTATGAGAAACCAACAAGTTTAAAATCTTCAAAATAATTAGCTCACCCACGAATACGCAAGACTAAATCTTTCACATAATTATTTAGAGACTAGGCATCTAAGAGATTTTAACATGGAGCTCTATGCTTAAGCAAATGACAGCCTTGCGTCTTGGCATCTAAGAGATTTTAACATGGAGCTATAATGTAAGTTACCATGGAATCAAGGCTCAATTTTATGAGCAATTAAGCATGGTTAGAAAAAAATATCCATATTTAAGTGAGACAGAGAGAAGAAACTTTGATAACTTATTGGTGACCATACAATTGTCTTTATCATCAAAACAACCAGCTCCACACTATCCTCTCTCACTACAAGCACTTCACCTGTGGAGGGGAAGTAGTTCTAAGCAACCATTTATGGTGGAACTTATAAAGTAATGTCCTAGAACATTACTGATGTTGATCCAAAGAATCATATTCCTTAGTGATGATATAAATGACCCAAGAAAACTTTTACTTGATTTTCTTTTTTTATAATTCAAAAAAATTCAAGGAACGAGAAATAACAAATATTTAAAAGAAAAGGAAAGTGGTCACTAACTAAAGCATGTACATACTTGTTGATGATAAGTATCCCAACCAACAAAGTTTGCTATCACGCAGTATAATCCTCAAGAAATCTTGATGCAGAGACAATACCTGCAGAATGCGAGGTTGGGCATCACGAACAAATATGATACATTAAATAGTTATGATCAGTTTTTATTTAGCATACTGGATCCCCCAAGCCAACAACAGGAGGTATGGATATCAAGAGATGGCTCATGTCTTGAATGGCACTTAACGCCTCTTGCCTGAGATAAACAAAAATTTTCACATACATGAATGATGAATTTGGGCTAAACCAGCTACCTAAACTTAATGAATGGAAAGGCAAGCACTAGATGAAGCCCAAATAAATGTAACATTGAAAATTCATCAGGAAAATCATCAAAATTTACAACTTATTCATGAAATGAAGCCCCAAAAGATGGCTTGACATAACTCTATGCACAAAACAAGATCTTCAGTAAAAAGAACAAAAGAAATAGCATGTCCAAAGAAAATGCAGAATGAATTACAGGCTAAAGGCCATTTAGATGAAGATTCAATGATCCTGGTCACCTATAAACTTACCCATCCTTATCAGCTTCGAAGGTGAACATGTTAAACCCCATTTGCTCAAGTTTGTTCTTCTTATTCTCATTTGTACAAGTTCCAAATACCTCCCTGTTTCACGTAGAGAGAGAGCAGCATTAATCTCTTTTTGGGGTCTTAATGTAGTGAGAGAGCAGCATTAATCTCTCTCATTACTCTTTTTTTTTTTTTTTTTTCAACTTCTCTCTCTTTATTCTCTATTCTCTAAATACTAAGCTAAAAGGCATAATCTTTCAAACATTTCTCAAGCAGAATAACCCTCTCTCTGTGGCTAGAAGTTCATTTTCTCTTTTCGATTTGGCAGAAGATGTGATAACATAATTGACTTTTGTTTCTCAAACATTCGATCATTTATGACTTTCGAAAACCTCATTTTTGGGGAAGGAAATTGCAGAGAGAGAGAGATTAATACCAGCCATTACTTTTCAGTTGATGTGCAAAACACGTTCCAACAAATCCCATTCCAAGAATAAACATTGATTTGTTATCTGGATAGCCATAAGAAGAAGATTTCATAACAGGAAATCTCAGAGTTTTCTGTTTAAACTGAAACGATTGGGCCTGAAATTTAAGCAGAGCAGCAGGGAAATCGACGGAAATGCTACATATTTCCATCTAGGAGAGCCAGAACCAAAGCGCTCTCTCGTAAAACAAACAAAAAGCTTTCCTCAGCTCAAAATCGAAATTTTAAATAGGAAAAATATCACCATATCCCCTGTTGATAGGTTTCGTATCTTACTGGATCCAAGATTTCAAAAGTTTTAGAAATATTAAGTTTTATATCTTTTTAACCCTAGGCTATCTATTCTTATTTTAATTCTAACTTTTTTAGCCCAAATAAAACATAAAATAACAAATCTTTTTAAACTTATCTTTTTCTCTCTCATCTCAATTTCTCCCTCTGACAACCCAATCCCCTTCTCCGTCCTCTGTGTATTACCTAATTCTCTCTCTCCCTCCGTATTACCTCACCGTCTCTACTTGTGTTTCCCAAGCCCATCACCAAACCTCTCATCTCTTTGACAGAAGTCGATTTGCGGAGGTTCCAAACCAGGTTCCAAACCACAAAGATCTTCATTTGTAGGGATTCACGCCATTTGAAGAGGTATTGCCATTTTCGATAGAATTTTAAGTGACTCCAAAATTTTTCAGTTTCAGGGAAAAACCTTCCATCTCTGCTTAATGCTTAAAATACTCTTCAATTGTCTCATTGTTTGATGCTATGTAATACCTTTACCTAGGTTTTATAGAAAGTTGGCTGGGGCTTACAAAGTTCAATGGTAAATTGAAGATTGATTAAGGTTTTGAAGGTTTAGCAGTGGAGAATTAGAGGTTTGGTTGGTAAATCCAATCAAGAACATATGGAAATTTCATATTTTTGAAGCTCATTTATCAAAATGCTACAAGTTACCACACATGGTTTCACTCTTCTTTGATTCATCTTGGTAAGAAGATAGAAAGCTCCGGCCAAATTGCCCTTCAATAACCAAAGTATAAGCGATGGAATCTGGGGTACAACCCATCCTCACCATTTCATCCAAGAGCTTATCAACTTCTTTCACCATATGCTTTTTGCATACCCCACGAATAAGCATGTTATATGTTATAGCCCTGGGCTGAATACCCGAGGCCACCATCTTATCTTTTACACTGAAAGCCTCTTCAATTTCTTCTACTCTCATCAAATCATTAATCCAACTATTGTAAATATAACAGTCAGGTTATAGTCCATTCTCTAGCATTTCAGTGATAACTCGTTTTATCTCTTGAGTCGTTTTCTTCGTGCATACACCATATACAAGAGCCCCATAAGTGAACCCATCAACAATCAATCTTTTTTGAGCCATTTTCTTTTTCAATTCGAAAGCTTCAGATATAAAGGTGTTATAAGTTACGACATTTGACGGAGAGAAAGAGGGGTTTGGGGAAACACAAAGGAGAGAGAGAACGAGAGACAGAGAGGGAGAGAGAGAAAGAGGGAGACACACACAGACACAAAGAGAGAGAGGGGTTGATGAGTAACATGGGAGAGAGGTAATACGAAAGGAGATAGAGAGAGTTGGGGTAATACACGAAATAGATAGAAAGAGAGAAGGGGTTTGTGGGAGAGTGAAAGAGTGAGAAGTTTGGGGATGGGAGAGAAAATGTAGGTTTAGAAATGCTTGTTATTTTATAATTTGTTTGGATTAAAAAAAAATATTAAAGTGGAAAAAAGTTAGTCTACTGTTTTAGAAGATATAAAACCTAAAATATCTATCCTCAAATATGTGTTTTGAAATATTGAGTCATGGAGATATGAAACTTAAAAATAAGAGATATATATATTTCTTCTTTTAAATAAGATAATTATGTTTTTGTAGAAAGCACTACTAATGGAAGCATACTGCAGGAATTTTAGAAGAAGACATGCCTTCCAATAATCATGTAAATCACACCAAATATTTATACGATCTCGTTTGGATAGGAGGAAATTAAGAATTTTAGATATTTAAAATCTAAAAAAATCTATAGATTTTCTATATCAAGGATTTTTGTCATGGATTCCTCAAATATTTTGTTTGAATAATCTTTTGTTTGGATAAACCATATAAAATCCATGGATTCTTTACAATCATTTCTATGTTCATTTGTTTGGTAACAAAATTTGTTACAATTTCTCTATCTAAAATTTTAATATACTCTATCTAAAACTAAAAATTTGGGATAGCCTCTCTCTAAAATTTGATATGGTTTTTCTCTCTAAAAATTTAATATAATTTCCATCTAAAACTTAAAATTAGAAATTATGTTTCTAAAAATTTTCACATAATTTCTCTCTCAAATTTTCAAGTGCTTTATCTCTTTAATATAGTTTCTCTCTAAAATTTTAAGTTACCCTCTCTCTAAACTTAAAATTTGAGATAGTTTCTCTCTTTAAAATTTTTGAGATAGTTTCTCTCTCATAAACTTTTAAGTACTTTCCTTGTGTAAAATTTGATATAGTTTTTCTTTTTAAAAATTTAAAATACTTTCTCTCTCGACAACATAAAATTTGTGATAGTTTCTCTCTCTAAAATTTTGGAGATAGTTTCTCTGTCTAAAATTTTAAGTAGTTTTTCTCTCCAAAATTTGATATAATTTCTATTTAAAAAAGTGTAGTATATTTTCTCTCTCTAAAACTTAAAACTTGAGATAGTTTCTCTCTCTAAATAATTTGAGATATTTCCCTCTCTAAATATTTTCTAGCAATTTCTTTTCTAAAATTTATAATAGTTTATTTCTCTAAAATTTTAAGAGTAATTTCTCTCTCTAAACCTTAAGATTTCATATAGTTTCTCTCTCAAAATTTTGAGATAGTTTCTACCTCTAAAATTTTAGATACTTTATCTAAATTTTGATATAATTTCTCTATTTAAAAATTTCAGATATGTTATCTTTTTAGAAATTGATATATTTTTTCTCTCTAAAATTTTAAGATACTTTCTTTCTATAACCTAAAATTTGATGTAGTTTCTCTCTCTAAAATTTTGAGATTGTTTTTCTCTCAATAAAATTTTCAGGCACTTTCCATCTCTAAAACTTGATATAATTTCTATATCTAAAATTTTAATATACTTCTTTTCTCTAAAACTTAAAATTTGATATATTTTCTCTCTCTAAAAACTTTGAGATATTTATCTTTCTAAATAATGTTAGGTTGTTTCTCTCCCGAAAAGTTGATATAGTTTCTATCTTGAAAATTAATATACTTTCTCTCTCTAAAACTTAAAATTTGAGATAGTTTCCCTCTTTAAAAAAATTGAGAGAGTTTCTATCTCTAAAAAGTTTTAGGTACTCTCTAAAATTTGATATAGTTTCTCTCTCTAAAATTTTAAGATGCTCTAAAACTTTAAATTTGAGATAGGTTTTCTCTCTAAAAAATTCCATATACTATCTTTAAATTATACTCTCTTTAAAATTTAATACAGTTTCTCTCTAAAACTTAAAATTTGGGATTAGTTTATCTCTCTGGAAATTTTGAGATAGTTTTTCTCTTAAATTTTTTAAACACTCTCTCTAAAATTTTATTAATTTCTCTCTAAAATTTTAACATACTTTCTCTCTCTAAAAGTTAAAATGAGAGATAGCTCTTTGAAATGTTTTTGAGATAATTCTCTCTTTAAAATTTTTTAGGTACTTTTTCTCTCTAAAATTTTCATACCTACCAAATGTGCCCTATGTTTATGAAAGAAAGACTAATATGATCTTGTTGGGAAATATATATTTTTATTTATTTATTTTCACCTTTTTTTCTTTTGACAAACATCACTTACAAGTAGTCTTATTATAATTACTCTTTGCTTCAATGAAAATAAAACCAACAAATCCAACATATTAAAACGTTGATGCCACTAAACCAATTTTCTTTAAACAAATAAAATAAAAACTACTTGTTATGCTTAGGAATATAAAGACAATATAATTAAATATGCAAAAAACAAAAAGAGAATACCAGACATTGCCTCAACCGGCACATTACACCCCACACTGAATCACTACCATCTGATGATGCGGGATCAACAATCAACTTTCAATCTCAACTGAAAAAACAAGTCTAGGCCAAGCCCTCCAATGGAACTATGAACTCCTCATGATCACAAAAACAAACTTAAGTCCGAAAACCCTCAAGATCTAATCCAAGTAAGATAGCATGTTCTTATTACAAGGTTCATCAAGGCATGATAAGAGAGAGCTTCATCTAGGTGGGGCGTGCCCCCTATTGCTACCAAGAAAGAAAGAGAAATACTTAGAGAGAGAAGAGAGATTTTGGTGTAGAGCTTTTATAGGCAAGCAGTCATCTATTTATAGTGCGAAAATATGATTAAAGTTTTTTAAGGTTTTCATAGTTTTCTTCTTTTTGTGAGATTGAACATTAACTATTGATTTTGGATGACCTGTTGGATGAGAGATTTGAGCCCTCCATTCTATAAATGGGCCATCACATTATTGAAAGGTGTTAAAACATTTATCTCCTTTTTCTAAACCATTTTCCCATCAATAAAACTTAAATAAAATAATTCTAAGTATAATATTGTGCATATCAAAATAATGCACAAGTTTCTCATGTTTTCCAAAAATTCATTCAAAGTTTCCTCAAGCCAATACCTTTCTAAAACTCATGGCAACTTGATCTACAAGCCAAAACCACTTATCACAAAAAATAAAAAGCTTATAAATGGGTGGGGCGTGCCACCCATGAGAAGATCTCATGGGCCCTACCATCTAGGCCATGGTGGGCCCATGTGCATAATGGGCTTCCATGCAACTTTAAATATTTTTAAAACTCAATAAAATAAATTCAGAATTTATTTGAAAATTTAAATCAATAAAAAATCAATATATTTGATTTTATAAATCCAAATTTGATAAATAAAATATCTATAGGTCTAGAAAAATTCAAATAACAATTCTAATATGATATATATATAAAATAAAACAAACATAATTAAATTCATTAGATGAAAAAATGATCCATATGGTCTAGAAATGAAATAAATAAAACACTAGAGCACTCTACCTTCAATTGTGGACAACAACCTACACTTGCTTTAATCAAACCGACCCAGTGCTTCTCATGACCCACAGTTCATATAAGAGCTCATTAGTGGGTCACTAAAGTCTGACCGACGTATCAAGTTGTCGTAATCCTAAATTTGGATGTCAGATTCTCCCCTAGAGACGTACCAATGTCACGTAAATATGATGCAAAGACAACTCCTATGGTGCATAGAGGTATCTCTCGCACTGAAAGATAGTAAACGATTATCATATATGTATGCCATGTGATTCTGATGGTATATGAAATGAAGCTTTGACCTTCGTCTCTGAAGGCTACCATCATACACAAGAGTCACACATCCCTCGACTCACTCATCTGAGATATTCCGACCTCATCAAAAAATGACCTATTAGAACCCTTATCGGATAGTTTTCTATGCGTAAGTAAAATATGTCTTTCCCAATCAACTGGTCTAGTTCGTAAAACTCAGTTAGCTATCAACAAATATTATTTACTTAGTATTCACAAAGGACCACACTCCTACTGAGTTCATATTCTATTATATCAAAATGTTTTATTACAAGTACTCATAAGGTTTTTAATGGCTACATTCACTTAACAGTTTCAGGTCAAAGAGAATCCATGGGCTTTAAAAATTAAAAAAAAACAGATTTTGATATGAAAATGAAACCATAAAAAAATTAGACAATTTTCCAAAATTTAATTTCCATAAAATTTAATATCGTAACCATTGAACAAACCAAACGATAGATTTCAATAATATCCCAGATATTAAAATCCAAGCCATAAACTCTATATGCCTAAACGGACGAGGAAAAAGTTTATACAAGGTGTGAAACTAAAGTAAGGTGAATGTTAAAAACCCTCCAATTGATATTTTTACATCGTTTTTACCTTGACATGTGATATATGGATATAAAAAATTCATTTCAAACCCTGAAAATAGTACATTTATAAATAATATTAAATTCATTTCAAACCTTAAAATAGTACATTATAATATTATTTTAATAATCCATTTTCAATATTTTTAAATGTTTATAGATCTACTTTATTTGTACCATTTTAAAAGCTCTAAAATTTCACGGATAGGACAAAATAAATTTCTAAGCTATCACTAAAACATCTTTTACTTAGACTTGTACCTTACTCAAATTGTTTAAAACTGATACCTTATACAAACGGCACCCTTTATTAAAAAATAAAAGTGCATTTTGCATAAGGTTGCAACTCTAAATAAGCAAGACATGAGGCACGTCCAAAATTTATTAAGCATAAAAAAAAAATGTATTCTTTAGTGCCGAAAACACCTAGGATGGAACGAGAATCTAGTTTTATTATTATCATCTTTCCAGCTTTATTGTTAAGATTTACATGAATCGTGTTCTTCTATTCTTATATCTCAAAGGCCATACTCATGTTTCTCTATTTATATCTCAAAAGCCGTACCTTCAATTAGATCAACAATAACAAAAATTAATTCTATAAATACATGAAAATAGATAGTCCACATAATATTTTGCAAGATACACTATTTTTTAAAATTAAAATCTTTTTTTTCCGTACAAATATATCTTATTGTCTAGATAATCAATATATATTTTATTGTCAAGATAATCAATAAAATGTTAATATCGAAACCGCTTTTTCAAAAGATTTTTGAGGTCCATCTTAATTTTATATTTTAAGGCGTCAATCTTATATAAACTTACTCATAAAAATCATTTTTTTATTGAATAGTATATAATGAAACTATTTGCCTTTACAAGGTGGATCATTGGATGTGAAATTTTTACAAGGTGGATCATTGTGAAATTGAGTGGCTACATGCATTTACCTCAAAGTTCAAAATTTTTTTTCTCCAACTTTATGAGACACCCAAATGGTTGTCAAACGTAAATGATCCTATTGTGTACAATACCCTTTTTTTATATATAAAAAATTGTTTCATACTGGCTCAACATATACAGTTAAGTATAAAGCATCCATCTTTAAGATGGATGTAAATAGATAGTCCACCTAAAAACATTTAAAAGTAACAGTCCAAATGTTCTTTTAATAAAATTATTATTTTTAAATTTAAAAAATTTATTTATTTTTCATATTCATGATTTTTATGTTAAAAATTACATCTCCTTAAAAACTAAGTCCAAAAATCCATCTCAAAAACAAAATTTTAAGACGCGCCTCATTCCTACATGTACCCTTCCTTTCATATACTATTGGCAAAGCCTCATTCCTATATGGACTAGTTCCTTTTATATAACTGTTGGCAAATCTGCGTTTAGTTCGGCGATTTGTTTACTTATATGCTGTTGACAATACTACCGCACCAGACACTCAAGCCACCACCACTCCACAACCCAATCTATAAGTATAACCCTGCGTCCACCACCAATCCTCACGCTATTACCCATCACCATCGTTTTTTATGCCATTACCCGTCACCATCAATTTTTGAAAATTGGGTTATGTGATCATACACGATATATAACTTTCAACCTCTTTTTTTTTAAATAAAAAAAAACTTTTTACAAATATCCAATTTATAGATATTCTATATATTAAAGTTTACTCTTTTTAGTAAAATCAAATCTTAACTATTGATTTAAAAAAATTGACAGTTGATCTAAAAGATTTGCGAGATAAACAATTTAAACCATCTACTTTTTATATCTATTATTTCTTAAATATATTCTCATCAAATATTGAACTAAAAAAATATTACGCATACTTCATTAGATATCTAATTTTTATTCTTTCAATTAAAGATAAACACAAAAATTCCAAAATTTTAATATTTGTTTTCTTTACGTAAATTGGCTTCAGCCAAAATTAAAAAACCAACTAACATAATTAAAAAGCCCGCTAACATAAACGTGCCAATAGTCTCTCATGAACCCCACCCAATCAACATGATAAGCATATTTTATATAAAAATCCCACATATTTTAAGAACTATTAATTTTATTTTTAAAATTTAAAAACTCTTAATTTATTTAAAATATTTTAATTTATAAATCTAAATGATATCAAACGATCACAAAAATTCAAATAAAACATTCTAAAAATCACATAACGTAAAATTAATTCAAACTGATTAATTTTGATAAAAATTAAATCTATCTAGATTTAAAATTTTTAAATTAATTCAAACTGATTAATTTTGATAAAAATTAAATCTATATAGATTTAAAATTTTTATTAATACATTAAAACACTCCACTTTGATCACGTTCCACGCTAGCTTTCTCAATCACCAGTCCGCTGTAATCAATCAACAGTCCACTGTGCAGACTCAAAAAGTAAATTTTATTAAATTCTCCCACAGAGACAAATCTTAAATCCCCTCGCAATAATATAACCACCATTCGATGATACAAATAAATAATCTCTCAAACATAACCACAGTTCGATGATACAAATAAATAATCTCTCAAACATGCACACACGTCACCATCGATAGTAGATCACTAAATCACTACCTTGATATAACCATCTATATTTAAAATTTTAACCTTATCTGTAAAAACCAATCCCTACATCCTTCTCTATTTTATCTGGCGAGATACTTCAAGTTTTTCCGCCGACTTTTATCTCACGAGATACTTCAAGTTTTTCCGCCTATCACATCGAACCTAATCTGAATTTTAGGTCGAACCTATACTTTGAATATCGACAAATTGCATTTGCCCTACCTAAATATTAGATCGAACCTATAATCTGAATATCGATAAATTGCATTTGCCCTATTATGATTTTCCAATTGACCTACCACATAATATCCACAAAATCGCATTTGCCTATTATGATTATGATCCACGAGTCTCCTATTAAACCCAACAATTTTCCCACCACTCCTAACTAATAGGCCGCCGACCATCACTGCACACCACCGCCACCACACCATAGCCACCAACTCTTCCTCTACAATCACCAACACTTAGTGCACCTCCACCCACCACCACAGATCACTACCACTCCACCCGCTCTATCACAACTGTCACTACCATTCCAGTATCACACTATTACCTCCCTGCCCACCGACATCAAAAAAATAAAGGGAAAATGTAATCGTTTATGATTAGGAGCCTCGCCTCGCCTCACCTTGGCCTTGTCACTCTGAACTTGGACCTCTTCAAAGTCCAGCTCAGGGCCTTTGGCCCTAAAATGAAAAAAAATTAAATACCGTAAATAAAAATTCCAACAATAAAAAATTAATTTAAACTAAAACTCTAATAAATTCAAACAAGATTAAAATACTGCGACAGACCCCTTAATTTTAGATATTTTATGAACTATCAATAAATAAAATATAAAAAAAATTATGATCACAAAAAAAGGCACTCAAGCAATGTTCCAAGTACATTCAAGTAAGATCACAAAAACAATCCAACATTTCTTAAAATTCTCTAAATTTTTTATATCTTGGATTAGAAACTTCTCCAGAGTAGACCAATGCCTGAGATATTGAAAAGAAGCCTTAAACATGCTATGGTTCTTTTTATTTTGAACCCCCCCCCATCCCACAAAATTTTAACACTCCTCGAAAATTCACCGGCTACTGGAAAGAGATCAAAAGCACAAACCGCACATAAAACTACTTCCCATTCCTCTTTTTACATTCTCTCAAAAAACGAAAATTTTTGTCATTTAGGAAATCAGAGCAACGCAATATCATTTTGGATAAAATAGGGCAACACATTAAATAAAACGAACTCCACCGTCTTTAAGTACATAAAGACTGGTTTATTTATAAAGTTAAACACGATTCCCTAACACTAAACTTATCCAAGTCCAGAATTCATAAGTAATACATATAACAAGTTAAAACTCTATAATATTACAGATATTTATAGTTAAAACTTTATAATATTACGGATATTTATGTTATGCATATATATAATAGAGGGCCTTCATAGTACATGGTAATGTTCAGGCGTTGAGTTGATCCTTGTGGTGACCAGGCAGCTTTTCCTTGATCTTCTCTATAATGCCCTTCTTCTCATGCTCATGCTCATGCCCGTGAACCCCCGCCCCCGCCTCATGTCCTTGTCCTTCTGTGGTCTTGTGACCACCAGGGAGCTTTTCCTTGATCTTCTCCTTTAACCCCTTCTTCTTCCTTCGGCCCCCCATGCCATCATCCTCCGAGGACTGAAAAACCCATCAACAAAAGCTCAATTGTTGGTCCTTCACGAATGTATTACCAAAAAAAAAAAAAAAAAAAAAAAAAAGAAAAAAAAAGAAAAAAAGAGGGAGCATAGAGACCTTCAATATTTTACAATGAAAAAAAAGACAAAAGAAAAGAGGATAGAGATCTTCAATATTTTGCAATAGAAATGTCTTCATCCTGTTAAAGTGCTTTAATTTCTAGACCGACAAAAAATTAGACTATTTGCACTTCCATTGTGTTCCAACGAGCTTTCTTAAACATAATACTAAATTATTTGCACTTCCTTTGGGTTCCTACAAACTTTCTTAAACATAATACTAAACTATTTGCACTTCCTTTGGGTTCCTACAAACTTCCTTAAACATAATACTAAACTATTTGCACTTCCTTTGGGTTCCTACAAACTTCCTTAAACATGCTTTCTAAAAAATTGCCCAAAACTTAATTTCATTACGAGTAAACACTTTTGACTCAAAATATTTCAGGATCGGCAAGGACTAATCGCACAAGCATTCTCACCTTGCCGCTTAAAACACAGACCATTTCACACCTCTCTAAGTTGTCATTTTGATTCTAATCCGTAGCAAAAAAAAAGAAAAGAAAAAAAGAATGAGAGCCAACAATTGTGAGGTAAAGAAGCACTGACGGATGAACTGGAGCTGTTAGAACGGTGAAGCTTCTGCTGCTCAGGCTGAGTGCCATGCATCATACCAGCGCCGGTTGTACCTAGCATTACGCCACCAGTACCCGTACCGGCTCCGGTGCCTGCTCCGGTGCCGGTGCCGGTGACGGTCCCACCATAATAGCCTGGTTGCCCTTGCTCATAACCGTGCTCATGCTTCTGGTATCGCTCATCCCCACGGTATTCTGCCATTTTCCTCCAAAAAATTGTACCTGATGCGAAATAGGAACTCACAAATAGATGGCACCTCGAATTACTCAATAGAAAATTCGAAAAATAAGCTTGAAACTTGATAGAAAATAGGAAAAATAAACTGAAACCTCGATAGGCCCTGCACCGAGCTGTGTTGCGGAAGATGTGAATCCGTCTATATAGGTTGAGCCGTTGTCGGATGAAGCATATCGTTAACGTCCAGAGTCCCGACACGTGACGTTGGAGAACAGGTGTCAGTTGATCATTGTGGACGTGTCGGGACGACGTTTTCAGTGTAAGGCGAGGTGTCAATGGAATTGATTATTTGAGATGGGAAATTGACAAGTGACGTCGCCATGAAAAAGGCCCTTTGTATCTTGTGATTTAGATTTGGGATGTCATGACCATGAGACCAGTTAGCAGTTTGCACTCTTCCTTATTCTTGAACGCGTTATGTGGTATGGTGGAATAGTGATATAATTGTTTGTTGGTCTTGGCTTTGGCTTTGGCTTTTGCCTGTCCTTCCCAAGGTGCATGCCAACACTATAGGGCATCGCATTCTCAATATGTTACCTATGGTTTATTTCTTGCTTTTCTTTTTTTGGTTTGGTTCTTCCATAATCATCATTAGATCATCATATATTAGAGTTTTGTTTTTTGTTTATATGAGATTTGTTGCATGAATTTTGATCCACCATTGATGCCATAAAAATCATATAATTTAATTCTTCCATAATAAAAATTTACAGCAATGATTTTAAGTGAAAATCGTATCCAAGTTTGGTTTTAAAAAAATCTTTTTCCTTTTCGTCTATTTGATTTGTTCTCGTCTCCCATTCTCTTTCCCTTTGTGCCACGATGCACGGAAAAGTTGGCGCAAAGAGATTTGGGGCTGTTGAATTGTTCCGTTAGTTTTCCCCTCTTGCTGAGAAGTGAAGCAAAGTCCTGCGGTAACAAAATGCATATAAGTTTTACGTTTGGCAAGCCACAAGTTCACGTTGTAGGAGATGTTTTGGGTCGGGAAATTTTCCATACCATCTTTTAAGGTTTAATGATTTTTAACTCTTAAAAACCTATGATCTAATCCGTCTAGAATATGTTAGTGAAAATTGATGGCATAGATGAATCCAAATCTTAGATGAGAGAGGAGGGATGCCGTGAGGCTGGTGATTGCAGAGTCCGGATTTTAAATCTCTTCAATTTTAGAGATAGAGAGAGGAGAACTATATATATTTTTCTTGCTATTGTCTTCGTCGCTCTGGCTTCCCATTTTTATAGGGAGAAGAATGACTATAATTATCTTTCTCCAACGGGTTTTTGAGAAAAGTTCTTCTCTGATCTTAAGAATATTCATCCAATGCATCCATATGAACGTTGGAGATAGTCATGGATAATTATAAACATGAGATTCCTCCAAACGCCCAATTGTAGGCTAAATCACGTGAGGCCTCATAGCCATACGTGTCAACACTCAGACAATTTGTTCAACACTCAGACAATTTGTTAATGGATCACCGATCATATCTGATGATGGCAAGTAAGTAACAGTTACTTCAGATTTCTCAATTACATCCTGAATGTAGTGGTATTGGACATTTATATGTCTCCCTTTGAAGCTATTTGCTCCACTTTGAATTAATTTAATTGTAGCTTGATTATCACAAGACATTTGAATCGGTCCGTCAATTATTTGTAGCTTCAAGTCATCTATGAAGCGCTTTATCCAGATGACAAAAGTACAAGCAGTGTTGCATGCAATATATCATGCTGCTTGTCTGTACCTAGCTATACGCCTTTGTTTCTTACTAGACTAAGAAACAATTGCCCCTCCAAAGAGGAAAACATGCCCTGAGGTAGACTACTATCGTCCTTATCCCTAGCAAAATCTGCATCTAAATATCTTATAACTTGAAGCTTATCTTCTTGAAAACACAATTTTAGATGCTTTGTTCCCTTAATGTACATTAGAATTATTTTTACCATTTTTTAATGAGTTATACCTGGATTACTTTGATATCTACTAACAAGTCCTACAACATGATTCAAATCTGGTCTTGTACATCTTACTGCATAGATCAAGTTACCAATAGCTTGTGCATAGGGAACGTTAGGCTTTTATTGTCCTTCTACTGGACAATCCTTCATAGACAACTTTATTCCCTTTTTAACAGGAGTAGACAACGCTTTACAATTTTCTATTTGAATTATTTTGAGAACAGAGTCAAGATATCTCTCTTGGCTCAAGCACGACATTTTTTATTTCGTCTCTAGTTATTTTTATGCCTAGGACATAAGATGTTTCTCTCATATCTTCATCTCAAACCGAGAAGAAAGACATGACTTAGTTTTATCAATTATTTATAGGTCATTTCCAGCTATTAAGATATCATCTACGTATAATGAGAGTATTGTGAATTTACTCTCACTCTTCAAGACATACACACAATGATCCAATCTATTTACTTTATATCCTATCTGTAGGATGACATCATGAAATATTAAGTACCATTATCTTAAATATTGTTTTAAACCATTTAAATACTAATTTAATTTATATACTTTATTTTTTTGACTTTTAATTATGAAGCCCTCATGTTGTTTCATGTAGATGGTTTCCTTTAATTCACCATTCAAGAATATTCTTTATATCCATTTGGTAAAGTTCTAGGTCATAACATGCAACGATTGCCAAAATTAGTTTAATGGAAATAAATGTTGCAACTGAGGAATAAGTGTCGACATAGTCGACTCCCTTTCTTTGGGTAAAACCCTTTGATACTAACCTAGTTTTAAATTTATCAATTGATCCATCAGATTTTAACTTTTTTTAAGTACCCATTTAGAACCTATAGGTTTCGTATCTGATGGCAAATCACATAGATCCCAAACCTTATTTTTTTCAATAGAATCTAATTCTTTTCTCATGGCATTAAGCCATTATTGAGATTCTTGTGACTTCATAGCATCATTGAAGTCAAAAGAGTCATGGATTTCATCTAGGTCAATAAAGTTTTCTATCTCCTTATTCATATAGACATAGAAATCATCAAGGTATGATGGAGGAGCTTTAGACCTCTTTTGACCACTTAACATTGGGTGTGTGGGTACTTCAATATCATCATGTTGATCAGCGCTATCCATATCCACTGTAGGTAGTGGTTCTAAGTCATATATGAGATTAAGTGGAGTATCATTATCCACTATATATAGGTTTACTTCAATAAAATCTTCTAGGAACTCAACATCTCTGCTTTCAATGAGTCCATTATCTTTATGATAAAATCGATATCCCTTTGATCCTTCGGGGTATATTATAAAATTACGAATTAGAGTTTTGTTTTCTTATTTATTTCTATACTGATATGGAACTAAAAAATGGGCAATCGATCACCACTTCCTCAAGTTGAATAGATCAGGTTTTCTACCTGTACACAGCTCATAAGAGGTAGAATCTATTGCCTTAATTGGAATCCTATTAAGAATATACATGGATATGCTTATTGCTTATCCCCAAAAGGTCTTGGGTAGATTAACATCAGCCATCATGAATCTAGTCATTTCTATGATCTATTACACCTTTTAGCTATTCCATTTTGCTGTGGCATATAAGGCATAGTGGTATGTCTTTTAATATTATATTCTTGGCAATAAATACTGAAAGCTTTAGATGTGCATTCAACTCCCCTATCCGTTCTAAGAACTTTGATGTTGCTACCCTATTGGTTTTCTACTTCATTTTTATATATTTTAAATTTTTTTAATGTTTTTGATTTATGATGGATTAGATACATATATCCAAATCTAGAAAAATTATCAATAAAGTGATAAAGTATGACATCCCTCTTTGAGTTTTAATATTGAGGGACCCACAAATATCTGAGTGAACCACATTCAATAACTCATTAGCTCTCTCCCCTTTATTGAATAATTTCCTAGTCATTTTTCCTGACAAGTATTGTTGACCTATCAGCAATTCTACATTATTTAGATTTCGAATAAGACATTTCTTTATTAACCTATTTATTTTGTCATTTCCTATGTAGCTAAGTCTAAGATGCCAAATATATGCATCAACAACCATTACACAATCAACATAACCAGAATAAGTTGAAATTTTATTATCAGCTTTCTCATTTGCATGAAGAAGTAACAAGTTGTGGTCATCAACCAAATGTCCCTAAACATAAATTTGTCCACGCTTTTCGATTGATACTTTCAATGATCGAAAGCGGACCTCAAAACCTTTTCTAAAGAGCAAGGGGACACATACAATATTTCGTCTCATATAAGAGACAAAATATCAATTAATATAAGGTCCATTGTCCCTTCATACAACCTACAAGTTCCTACACCTAATACATTAGAATAGGTGTTGTTTCCCATGTTGATGCATTTTTCCCCAACTTTTATTTCTTTGAAGTCTTCGATGAGGCATTTTGAGGTTGTAATATGCCGATTAGCTCCTGAGTCTTTCCACCAACATTTGATGTCGTGGTCTGCTATCAGGCACACAGAAACCACACAAACCACACAAACAACTTCACGCCTCTTGCTTACATTTCCGTTATTCTTCGGATTTTGTGGGTTCTGTGGTCAGTGATTCTTGAAGTAACATGGCTGACCACATATAAAGCATTTTGACAGTCCTTGTCTAGTTTCTTGGTTGTAGGGCTTAGTGCCTCTGTTTTTTAACCTATTTTTCCTCTTATTAACTTCCTTTGAAATTTTTAGTTGTTTGACTTGGGTTAGCTAGATTTGGGAGGTCCTTGAGCAAGCATGAGCTCACTTCTTTTATCTTTATTCATGTGTTCTTGCTCTAAGGCTAGTTGCATAGGTAGGTCCCCTAATGTAAGAGATTTTGCATTAACCTAAGTACAATTGTTACCATCCTCCATGAAGGTGGAAGGCTATTTAAGATAGTGGAAACTTGCATGCTCGGGGACTCCATTCTCAGCAATGACTAAGTCCTTAGCCATAACAAGCATCTTGTTTATATGTTCTACTACATTATTATCCTTCTTCATTTTAAATGAGTTATATTGCTCTAATAATAATTGGAGGTGTGTTTCAGAGGTTAAGTAATATTAAGTTTTTATTCCCTCTAGTATTTTCTTGGATGTTTCATAATGTTCGAAAACTTTAATA